GCAGCATTAACTACACAGAGCCGTTGTTCACTGACAAGCTGCGCAAAACCACGATCATATTTTGCGCATGTTTTGCGCAGCTTGTCGGTGAACAACGGCTCTGTGTAGTTAATGCTGCTCCATGTGAAAGGTGATGGAGATTTACCGCTGATTAAAGAACCGGCTTTACTGACAAGATGCGTGTTAAATGTCGCATGCGATTTATCGTGCAGCCCTACCCAAAACATTCAAATAACACAGACTAAATAAAATAACTCGTGCACGTTCATATTCCCCGCTGCTGTAACGTTAAGTTTTATTAAAATGCTATGCATTTATCCCTATGTGACGTCTGTTTTTATATTGTTTATCAACAGTATACATTTTTATATTGTTTGGATTAACTAGCCGAGTAGACAGATATGAATGTTTATTCATAACCATACTGAAAATAAGTAAATATTGTTAGCTGATGCTAACGAAAATCATGAAAATATAATTATATTTTCCTTAATGTTCTTCCTAACTTCAGGCCTTATTTACATGTCATATATAACTCTGATGTTCTGCAAAACAACAAGCTTTAAAACAATTTTTTCTTACTGGTGAAAATCAGATGGTGAAATCGGTTTTCTCTCAGGTACATCGCAGTGTAAGCTTCACAATGAACATTACTACATCACTCTCATCAACGTAGTCCCATACCAACAACAAATATATCTTCAATTGACTCCATAAAGTGGTTATTTTGGGAAAATCCAAGTATTGAGCAGTAGGATTTTAAAAAATGTGCTAATATAAAATTAAATTAAGTAGCCTATATAAAATTGCTAAATAAATCTATCTATCTGTACTTTTTTACTTGAGTACATTAAAAAATCAAGTACTTTTGTACTTTCACTCGCGTAAAATTGAAAAAGGAGTACTTTTACTGGAGTAATATTTTTTTTTTTTTTATACGTATCTGTACTTTTACTCAAGTATTTGATTTGTGTACTTCGTCCACCACTGGTGTGCGTTGGGTCATGGTCGTGTTGTTGGACCCATGGCCACGGATTTTGTCTTAGTTGTGTACAGGTTTTGTTTCTGAAAGCTGAGGCTTTGTTTTGTTTTTTCTATTAATCTTTTCAAATTGGTTTAATTTCTGTGTATAAGCTATTTATTTTGAGTTGGATTTTTAATTTTATTTTGTTAATTGTGAAATCTTCTATTGTTGATTTAGTCTTCTTTAGTGTCTTTTGTTGTGATTTGATATTTTGATTTAAAGTGTATTGTTTAAGATTTGTGTAGGTTGTGATCTGGGACGATTTGAAATTTTTTTTATTTTTTTTATTTTTTTTTCTCCTCTCTCTTTAGGAGCTGCTGGCCTTTATTGAACCGGGTCGATGACTTCCTCTTTAGATGGTGGTGGTGTTTCTTCATTGTGTGTTGTGGACTTTGGCGTGCACTGGGGTCTTTATTTTGGTATGTGAGTGTTATGTAGATTAGGAGCCCTTTTTGGAGAGTCTTCCCTGTAATTTAGGCCGCAGCTCCATGACATTTTGAATGACTTATGATTGTGTAAGCTTTTCTGAGAGTTGATGTTTCTATTTTATTGATTTTATTCTACTTTAATAAAAGATTGGTGTTTGATACCTGTGTCGCCACGTTTTGCTTGCCACTGGGTAGGGAACCTGTGCAAAGTTTTCGGAGATTCTTTGGGTGAAATTCCCAAGGTGGCGTAGTCAGGCATTCTTCAATCTTAGAATTTTCTTTGGGATTCTGTTTAAATTTATTTAGTGAAATCCAGCTGGGCCACCCCCGGCCACATTTATTTATTTATTTATCACCATCTTCTCTAAAAGAAGAGAATGGTGTGTTCTATAGGTTCAGTTAACTTAAATGTTGAATACATGTTTAAAACGTATGATAAATGGTCTGCTTTATTTTAATTGAAAGAAAGAAATATATCTCATGTTACTAAAGCAATCGCAGCAGTCAAAACGTATTCAAATGGTGAATTTCTGTTGCACTTCACTGTAATTTGCATGCTTTTTTAATATGTATACTTTTATTACTGAAATGCTGGGAAGTATTTACAAAAACAATATTTCATCACTGCTCCACGTCAGCGACTGGCGAAAGAGGGGAAAAAACAGGTATTTGGAATGGGCCGTTACAGCAATACAATGTTAATATTATATCCTACAATTAGTCTATAAACATTAAAAATATAAACCAAGCAACTTTGTTTACCTCATGTAAATAACGGGCTGCATTAACTTATTTCTGCTAATTTCCATATTTTAAGTTGCCTCCATTTTGAGATTGAGAAATCCATTTCAATAGCGTCTATCTTCCTACTTTTAAACAGGAGATTTAAATAATCACATAAATATGATTTTTTTTTTCCCTATTAAATTAAATATGAATTTATTTGTATTCCAAGCATAGCCTATTTACACGTGAGCAGTGTGTTCCCTGGTTCATAGGATCACAAAACTCACTCCTCCGTTAATAAATCGCCGTCTGAATGCATGAGTTTTATCATTGAGGTGCCATGCAGATTTATTTATTTTTTTTACAGATGTCCACATGAGAAACAATTACCGTACAAATAGAGCTATTAAACACCATGCCTTAACAGAACTATTGGACTGATTACAAATTAAAACACATTAGTGAACAAATTTGTTGTGTAGTGCACTAATGTTCTTTTCTTCATCTGAGTGTGAGTGTTATCGCCTTATGTTTAACTTTGTCTTTTTGGTTCCTTCAGGATGTAAAACAACAACATTGTCAGAGTGAAGTTCAAAGGCAACAAGAAATCTATTTTTTCTTCAAAACCATTTACATTTCAAATGTTTTTAGAGTGGTAAGAGATGATAAACTTTAACGTTGTTGATACCATTAATACTTTTCCCTCTGAAAATGATTTTTTTAGTAGTAATATAATAAGTGTATGATTGTATCTTATGGGCTATATGTATCAGTTCCTTTGGCATTGCTGGCCTTTGTCAATTTGTCAATGGATTGTCTTCCTTCAGTTGCCAAGAAATTTTATCTTTCTACAATGGATGGCATTTGAATATCTGCTGACACGACCAGACCTAGAAATTTTCATCCCAGGCACAGCGAGTCTTGATGGTAAATTGTTTGACCTGCTTAGGAAGTTTTGTTTATTCTCAGCAATATTCACCTATTCACTGATTAGCATAGGCTAATATGTCTATTTGACTAATTCTCAATAGCTGTATAGCATGCTATCAAAGTAGTATGAACAGATAATCAGACTATTGATATGATTTATATTGAAGATTCTTTAAGATCAAGTTCAATAGAAGATACTGAGGGCCTGTCAGAGTCTGATGACACAGCAACTCCTGGAAAAAAATCAAGCTGATGAACGTTGTCTTGCCCATGTAAGAATCACCTATCTTGCTTCTGAATTACATCTGTATAGAATGACTTAAATATTAAAGATATTTGGAACTATATACACTTGTCAATTGTTAATTTCTCATCTCTGCTCAATATTACATCACCCCCCCCTCCCCCCTCCAGATGATCGAAGATATCCTAAAGAGCAGCCCTGGATGTGAGAAGGTCATGAATGAATATGCTCGCTCTAAAAGTTTGTCAGATGGCTGAAGACATGACATGGTGAAAAATCTTTGCAGCACATTTGACAAATGAACATGGGTAGGTTGTTTATACAGTGCTTTGTAAATTGTTTATGATGTTATGGGTTGTAATTGGTTTATGTTTGTGTGTGTGTAGAACAAGCCCTTCCCGAAGTTTAAAGGAAGAATATGCAAAGGGAATCATCTCCCTATTCCCATACTTGGTTGACACCAGGATCAAGCTTGGTTATGTAAGTAGCTGTTGCCTCAATCTTTTTTTTATTTATTTTCCAACATTTCTACCCTGATCTTTTTGCAAGGGCCTAGTACAGGAGTTACAGGTTTACAGTTAGAAATTGTTTTCATTTGGGACTCTGAATAACAAAATCATGGTTGATATGTTGTTGATAAAGTTTAACTGTATGACTTCATTTCAATAATTGTAGAGGTTTCACCTCAATTCATCCACACATCTGTAGTCATGCGCGTGGTGCTGCTGACGTAGAACACGCATGTGCTGCACCTTCTTTACGAGCAGAGGAAAGCACGCACATGCGTCATGTTACTCTCCATAATGGCGGAGGACAGTGACTCGGTGGAGAAGAATTATTGAATAAAGTCTTTATTTTTGTTTTCTTTGCACACAAAGTATTCTCGTAGCTACATAACATTACGGTTGAACCACTGATGTCACATGGACCATTTCAATGATGTCCTTACTACCTTTTTGGGCCTTGAACGTGGTAGTTGCAATGCTGTTCATGCAGGGTCAGAAAGCTCTCGGATTTCATCAAAATTATCTTAATTTGTGTTCCAAAGATGAATGAAGGTCTTGTGGGTTTGGAACGACATGAGGTATGAGTAATTAATGACAGAATTTTCATTTTTGGGTGAACTAACCCTTTAAAGATCACCTGTCCTCCAAATTGTTGTTCTTCTGCTATTCTTTTCTACTTAACACATATTTAGTAACAATATGTTGGAATCTGTTGGAAGTATGTAATACAGAAACTTGGGTGGAAAACAGGTATCACTGTATCTTTATTCATGCTGTATATTGACTCAGGCATCACTGTTGTGATTAGTCTGTCAACTGACATACATGGTGTTATTGATGCTTCCAGGATTGGCCATGCCCAATAAATGTTTGAAAGTGAACACAATTCCTGTTCCTACCGCAAACTTTGATCTATTGGTTCAGCTAGCAGAATGATGCAGAGAGTGTCCAGAAAGATAGAGAGAGAGAGATGACAAGTAGAAGGAAAGATGAACGAAAAAAGACAGAGAGACCAGATGAAGTAGGAGTTTAAAAAAGAGGAAGGTTAAATGGAGATTACAGTGAAAACCATCCCCCATTTAGAAAAATAATACAGGATGAGAAGCAGGATTTCATGAAGGCTTGGTGTTAGAAACAAGCTCTTCACATCTCAACTTGTTTTTTGTTTTTAACATGTAAACATACACCTGTGCCAACAAGCTCATCTCATGTCAGTATCTCTTACCTGAGGTGTCTTTTAGCAGCAACGTCCTACCAATGTTAGACAGGAGGTGGTCAATATTTGGAACAAGCTCTATGTCCTGCTGGTCCTCTGGTGTCTGTAGGGAAAACATCACCATATGGATGAGTTTGCTGAGTTTTTGAAGTGCCCTGTCCGTGACCCTGACCATCACATTTATTAGATAATAAACTGTAATTTTAACAGATTAAAATGATTAAGAGAGAGACCAAAGACTGTTTATTGGGTAATCTCAAGTGTGAAATCCCTTATTAAATGTAATAAATATTTAAAATGGTTATAAAAGGCAGTATGTACCTTCTCTTCCTTATCCAGCTCATCACTGAAGAACCAGGTATGCTGCAAAAAACAAACAAAGAGAAACATTTAAAGACAGGATATATTTTCTTATGTTAACTCTGTTAATATTGAGGGAATGTTCCAGCTTCATTACAAGTTCAGCTCCATGAATGGCATTTGTGGCATAAGGAAAATAAATAATTTTGGGGTCATGAAATGGACATTACACATACAATAGGTTACTCTATAATAATACTGCAAGTTTCAGAACTCAAAACTCTCCAGTTTAACCTGTTAACCTGCTCCCCCCATTTTGGGACTCAGCTGAAAATGGCCTACCTAACTTAAAATGGTAACAGTTCCTGATAACAGTATGCTACACACACAATTTAGGTATCTTTGGAAAGAAGACACTTTAGGCTTTACTATCCATCATCCAGAGTTGATAATGCTCTTTTTTTTCATATACACTAGAAAAATACAATAAGAATCATTTTTGAGTAATAAAAAGAAGAGAGAAAAAAAAAGAATTAGCTTTGTATGTCAAGTACATACTCTGATTGCCAGACATACAGCATTCACACTGATTGCTGGTCATACAGTCAGTAATCACATGCTGATGGCCGGTCATACTGATGGTAATCATACAGATGGCCGGCCATATAGTCAATAGTCACCCTTATGGCCGTTCATATAGACAGCATTCAAACTGATAGCTGGTCATTCAGTCAGTAATCACACGCTGATGTGCGGTCATACAGATGATAATCATACAGATACAGCCACATTCCCCACAAAGCACACACACACACACACACATATATGAAAAATGTTGAATAAGGGAAAAAAATAATTATTTGCGCAAAAAGCCGATTGCTAAGTTACGCCCCCAACAGATGACAGGTGCGTCACAGCGTGCATCACGAGCCGTCACAAGAGAGTGCCAGAATTAAAATAAACAAGATTCCGCCTATCTTTGAATTTTTTTTAGTGGATGGTCTCATTCTGTTTGTGACAGTGAATGCTACAAAACCATGTTGTTTTTTAATACCAAGACGAAGTTTTTTGAGCATAAGTTATTCCATAACAGATACAAACAGTAACTGTCCCCGAAGAAATGAGATGTAAACAAAGGAATAACCATATTACAACGCTATTGTTTCGTTGGACTAAAGGTGCTCTATGGGATTTTGTTCAGTGGACCCTTGCCTTTCTAACTACACCGGGATTTACAGCAGTGGATGCGTTTGTCTCATTATTACGATGAATCTGGTACGTACTGCGTTTTTATTATGCATGTTTTGATGTGTACTGCTTACACAAATTTAGCAAATACATAGCGTTCAGTGTGCCGGCGTCCAGCTGCGGGTTATCAGGTTAAAATATTAATTAACATTTTCTACCCTTCTGAAACACCCAAATTTGAAATTTGAAGTATCGGGATCTCCTCGACACACCCCTTAACGTATCATCATTGTATGTAATCAAGTGTTCTGTCTGTCAATCAATCACTAGAGCAGAGCCGGCCCAAGGCATAAGTGAACTAATGGCGCTTTTCCACTGCATGGTACGGCTCGGTACGGTTCACTTTTGGGGGGTTTTCCAACTGGGTACAGTACCTGGTACTTTTTTTAGTACCTACCCGGTTGGGGTTCCAAGCGAACCGTACCGTTACCAAAA